CATGTTTTTCGAGAAAAATAGAAATTTTTTAATCGTAAAATTCTTTAACGCAGACAATGAAACCTGCAATATAACATTTAATAAATCTACTCATTAATCAATTCCTTTATATTTTTATCAGTCTTAATTATTTATTAATTAAAATAAATAAAATTCCGATTTCAATTCAATATATAATATATCTTAGAGAGATTTATGAAGTTAAAATTAAAGGTTTGGCATCTAGAGAAATATTTTTCCTCGCGATACACTGTATATCTGCATGCGCTAGCAATATTGTTTTTGCGACAAAAGAATACATATAATAATATTAAGATGCACGAAGGAAATAGTGAATTTTTTCCATTGCTTTCGTCATCGTCTTTAAATTAATGCATGATAAACAGGATTGCGCACTACGTTTATATAGTTGCGGTAGATGCATTGTAATTATATTAATCTCCATGCCCGAAACTTTGGAAGTAATGAATATAGAGTGCTTCGAATTACATTGCATACACATACACCAATTCTCACACCAATTGTACACATATATGTCAGCTCTCACACACGCATGCCGATCGTTTAATCAGGGTCAGAGTGCCATCGGAACTGTATCGTCTACCGAATGGAAAAAGACGATCGTCCGACAAGAATTAATCTGCGAAAATAATTTGCGTTAAATGCACAGCCATGATTCAGCCGTGGAAAGTTTCCTTTAGTAAAGCTATTAAAAGCGAGTCTTTTTATTAATTTTTAAAATAGAGATTTTCAATTGTGACCTGTCTCGCGTTATTATCATTAAAACTATCATTATCTATTATTTATCCTTATTATTATCTAAATTCTAGATAATAGAGTGTATACATTATTTATCAGATATATTGTCTCGGAAAATTTCCGGGACAGATCTCGAATTTCACTAGACAAACGTCAAAATGATAAGATAAAAATTCTATATACATTTCTGACCGTCAGTCTTAAATCTAGATGGATATGATTTACAAAGTCGACGCAGCTGGCGTCAAAGACTTTCAACCATCTGCGTTTCTGCTCTCGAATAGCCACGTTCCCCGCCGATCCCATGGTGGCTTTTCGCGGGAATTTGACGGGGAATAATGGGGTGTATTTTGGGATCGCACAGAGAGAAAGAGAGAGAGAGAGAGAGAGAGAGAGACGGACCGTTGACCCCGGCGGGACATTTTTGAAATTCCGCGACGCCGTCGGGGAACTAGATCCGCCATTTTCACAACAAATGTCTCGACGTTTCAGAAGCGACGAACAATCTGGCTATACCACCGCCAATTTACTTATGGTCGGTGATAGCGTGAATTTTGCATTCGTCGCCGATCGATTCCCGACGTACGCGAATCACGGCTCTACTTCCTTGATATATTTATTCCGTTTACAGCGAGACTAGCATTAAAATTCGGATATTTCGTTGCTGGAAGTCATTGCTCCCGATTGTCGCGAAATCATTTCCTTATTCATGAATTCGATCATTTATTTTAAATAAACGTACTACAATATTTGCTTTGGAAATACAAATTATTCTGCACCAATAAAATTAGAAATATCTCGAGGGGAAAAAACGTTATATTATCTTGAGACAATCGATTAATAATATCACATAATTCTATATGACTTACGTTACCGGAAATTCTCTTAATTATGGTTTAGCCTTGATCGGGCAATATCCCGCGCGTCTCTTTGCGTAAGAAACTGGCCTCGTGAGATCCGGCTCGTGCCGTTTACAGTGGAACAATGGTGAATCGACACTCCGGGGAAGCGATTCCCAAGGACGAGCACACAGGTACGAGGGACCCGAGTTACGCTCGGGTTCCTCCTGCGAGCAGGTCTAATTGCCCGGCCGTTCCGGGGCGTGAGCGGGTGGACTTGAGGTCCCCCAGCTTCTCTTAAGTCTCGTTCGCACCGCGACAGCATCGAGACATTTTTTACTGCTTAAACTTTTTAAATTAGCTATGTTAAATAATATTTAAATCGCACGAGAAATTTGTTTATCTAAATTAATTAGTTTAAGTAATAAATTTTTAAAAGAAAAATTCTTTTTGTTGAAATTTACTTGAAAATTATTAACGCGATAAATTTTTGTCATGTTGACTAAATTGAATTACGGAATAAATCAGAAATAATTTATATCAAATTAAAAATTATAAGATAAATTAAATATTAATATAGTACTTAATTTTAAAGTATTTACATCAATTTTTTATCAAGAGAAGAAATTATTATAGCCAAAAATAGATATTTTGTGCATTTTAATAAGAATTTTCCACATTTAATAAGAATTAATTATTACTTCGTTTTACATTAACTTTACGTCTCGGCATTAATTCTCTTTTATTTTCGAATTCAATCTATAATTCTACATAAAAATTTAAAATAAATCATATAATTCCCTTAACTATTTTTTTTTAAATAATACCTGTGACAAAGTTAAATTTTCTTGATAAATACGAGGGAAACAGGTATAACGTAACTCCATAGTTTCCAGCCGTTTTACCGCGAAGTCTTTTCTCAGAGATGTCAAGAAAATCCAGGTGGCAATGACACGCTTTTTTTTCCAGCCGCTTTGATTGTTGCTTATGATTTGAATGTACGGCTTCGTTGCAATCTCTTATGTCAACGCAAATTCGCATTTGTCACGCCCGATTCTGACATTAAGCTCCTTACGGCTTCTGAGTCCTGCTTTATTTACGGAATTTCAATGCCAAGCAAATAAGAGCGAGGTGTCCGTATCGCATTCCAATATCTATTCCATAATCAATCACAACAAAGTCTCTCGAACACGAAAGATTATTGTATTAATATGTCATTAATATAATAGAAATATTTATATAAATTTCATAAGTTATAATTTTTCACACACACTCTATACATATATATTTTAAATCAACTTGTTATCAAATGAATTAAATTCTTAATATCTCTTAATAAGTATATTAATATTTTAATCCGCGATATTTTTGAATTTTCATTATATTTTAATTTAATATTAAACTGTCCGGAGAAACAAAGCTGATCGTTATTTTTAGTTTGGAATTGTTTCGCGGAAAAAATTGCTAATTACAATCTCTTTTCACATAGATGATAAGCCGAGACATCTTAGCCAAAGAATAACTACCTTTATGTTTATCATACGCGTTATGTCATTATGCTATGAGTAAGTCTTTATCAAGCTGAAATTAATTATGCAGACTAGCTGACATAGAATATCACTGTTGAAAAACACATTTGCATGTATATACACATGTTAGTGAGCACATATTTACTAAGCATAAACGTGATTCATTTTTTTTATGATTTATTCATTAAATCAAAAATCAAAGATTAATATATAAATTTATGGTTTTTTTTTTGCTTTTAATAATTTTGATTTATAGAAATAGATATTAATCGTTCACTTTTAACGCTTTTCTCATTCATCTCTTGTTTTATCTGTATTTTTATTTTTGCATAAAAATTGTTTCAAAATATTTCTTTTTTGTTTCAACAGATATAACGAATTATAATTCGAAAGATTATAAAAAAACTTGCTGGAAATGACAGAGCGTATCTGAAAAAATTAATATTCAGTAATATGTAAAGCCAGTCTCGAGAAGGGATAATTTATATTAATTTACCAATTAAATAAAGATAATTATATACTTATATATATATATATTAATAGTAATTAATTTTGCTCATCAATAATTAATATATATAATATTGACTTAATTAATACATCAATATGTAATTATTAATTTTGTGGAAAATTTTAATTTCTCAACTAAATTTAGTTATCACTGAATAATGGTAATAATAATCAGCATTTCACAGTAGAGTTACTAAAATATCAATCCCGGTTACTTGACACAACAAATAAATCAACTGAATCACAGAGAGAAGGGATTTTAATATTAAACTGTCCGGAGAAACAAAGCTGATCGTTATTTTTAGTTTGGAATTGTTTCGCGGAAAAAATTGCTAATTACAATCTCTTTTCACATAGATGATAAGCCGAGACATCTTAGCCAAAGAATAACTACCTTTATGTTTATCATACGCGTTATGTCATTATGCTATGAGTAAGTCTTTATCAAGCTGAAATTAATTATGCAGACTAGCTGACATAGAATATCACTGTTGAAAAACACATTTGCATGTATATACACATGTTAGTGAGCACATATTTACTAAGCATAAACGTGATTCATTTTTTTTATGATTTATTCATTAAATCAAAAATCAAAGATTAATATATAAATTTATGGTTTTTTTTTTGCTTTTAATAATTTTGATTTATAGAAATAGATATTAATCGTTCACTTTTAACGCTTTTCTCATTCATCTCTTGTTTTATCTGTATTTTTATTTTTGCATAAAAATTGTTTCAAAATATTTCTTTTTTGTTTCAACAGATATAACGAATTATAATTCGAAAGATTATAAAAAAACTTGCTGGAAATGACAGAGCGTATCTGAAAAAATTAATATTCAGTAATATGTAAAGCCAGTCTCGAGAAGGGATAATTTATATTAATTTACCAATTAAATAAAGATAATTATATACTTATATATATATATATTAATAGTAATTAATTTTGCTCATCAATAATTAATATATATAATATTGACTTAATTAATACATCAATATGTAATTATTAATTTTGTGGAAAATTTTAATTTCTCAACTAAATTTAGTTATCACTGAATAATGGTAATAATAATCAGCATTTCACAGTAGAGTTACTAAAATATCAATCCCGGTTACTTGACACAACAAATAAATCAACTGAATCACAGAGAGAAGGGATTGCGAAACATTTCTGTCTACTCCAGATTATCCTGTTTAATCGCTCTACGTATTAATTCGAGGCAGGAGATGGTTCTGTCATGAAATTAGAAGCGTAGATCATCCCCGAAGGCTTCTTCGTTATCGATCACATTAGTGTCAGCAACATCCACTGATTACGGATTGCTCACGACGAAGTTCAATGTTCGATCTTTTGCTTTTGCAGCCCACGTGGCGTTTATGGGGCGAGGAGAGGGGCGACGGCGTCATATACACGGTGTACCTGAAGAAGGTCCGATACCACCGGCCTACAAGGAGTCTCTCGGCATCGGTGAGCGTTCCTCGCATATTTTCATATAAAAAAATCTCTGTTTCCTCGTTTAAGAATTTTCTCTTAATTTTACGATTCTTTAATTTTTTGATTGATTTTTATAATAAATTATATTTAATAAATTATATTCTATATTTAATTT